CACCTGCACCTCCTCCACCTCCACCTCCATAGAGTAGTGAAGCTGCAGGCCCAGAGAGTGTGGCAAGCCACCACCCCGCCCTCTCTGCAGGACAGTGCCCTCCCAATCTGGCCATGCCGAGGAAATGGGAACCACCTTGGTGACTGGTGCCCTTTCTAACTTTTACCAAGATGCCAAATCAAGAGACTTCTGCTAAACCATACAGGTAGTCCACCTAAGCCATTCTGCAGCTGTGGCCACGAGCTCTGACAGGAAGGGGCCAGGCCAAGGATGTATGGTAACATGGGGGTGAGGGGAGGTCCCTCCAGTTGGAAGGGCCAGAGTAAGCCAGTTCAGAGCCCCATTCCTAGCCTTCCACTCCACTCATTATGCTTCAGTTCAGGGAGGCCCGTTCTTCTCTCTCCTTCACTCGACATGGGCTCAAGCATCCCAGTGAACAGGCAGCCAGTGCAGGACCAGCGGCCATAATGTCGCTGGCAGTTGGAGTCAACTCACAACTGAAACTCACAACTCAGCGTTCACTCAACAGCCACTGATTTCTCTAGTGTTCCAGAGACTGCTGGGATCTAGCAATGTAGTGGGGAGCCGGGGGTCCTCACTCAACTTCCAGACCAGTGAAGGAGACAGAGACTAAGTCAGGGAGCGCACAGGTGAACGCACAGTTACAGAGTGTGAGAAGTGTGCCAAAGGAAGAGAGAATAATGGACCGGGCACTGGAGAGAGAGGCACTGCTTAACTGGGACCTCTCCCACCTTGGGGTCTAGCGCTCTACCCATGATGGGGCGAACTGATGGCCACCCCATGCCCATCAACCCATCACAACCCAACCCTCACCTTGGAGAAGGCTGTCTTGGTTGCTGGGTAGATAGTTAAGTGCCGATCCCCTGGGAATTTCTTCAGCCAAACCCAGTCTCCCTAGAGCAGGGAGGATGAGGGTTAAAAGCCCCGTCTCTGAGAGCCCCATGATGTGAAAAGCCCCAAACTCACCACCATCACCTCAATGCCAACTTAGAACTGCCCCCTGTGAGTTCTGAGACTGTAAATCTTTACGGGAGTAGAAAGCCTCATCTTTCTCCTGGAGAGTGGCTGGTGGATTTGAACTGCTGACCTTACAGTTAGCAGCCCAACTCACAACCCACTGCACCACCAGGGCTCCCTGTGAGCAGCTCTCCAGCCCCATGTTTCCTTTGCTGCCACGCCCCAGAACCCGTTTCCCATGTGAAAAAGAGAGAAACAAGAGGTTTCATGTCCGCCCATCCAGTTCACAGCCAACTGGTGAAAGCCAGCCCCTGAGTGAGAAAGACGTAAAAGGTCTGTATGGCTGTCCTCGCTGCCCCAGATGTCCTCACCCACAGCCCGAGCTCAAGCTGGGTCCGGCTGTGCTGGAAACTGAAGTACAGGCAGCTCCCCTGTGGGCTCTGGGCATCAAGGGGTTGGGATCCATGCTGTTTCCCTGGACCCCATGCTCAGAGGGGCCCTGGTGTTGGTTAAATGATCTGCTTTAGTATTGTCTTCAGTGAACAAGCCCTCCCACCCCCTTGTTCATTTTGCCATGGATCCCAAAAACTATCATGTCGCGGGACCTGCCTCTGGTGAGAGATTTGGACTAGAAGAAAATTCTGGAGGTTCAGGACTGACCCCTAGGGATGGTTTGGACCTAACTGTGGGAACGTGTGTAAGAAACTCACTGCCATCGCTGTGATGCCCACTCATAGCAACGCCACAGGACTGGGTAGAACAGGCCTGTGAGTTTCCAAGACGGTCCCTCGGTGAGTGTAGAAAGCCCTGTCTTTCTCCCGTACTGCTGACTGCAGCCCAGCGTGTCACCACTGTGCCGCCAGGGCTGCTGACATGAAATGAGGGTTGCATCTAGCGGGTGAGGTGCCTGAACAGTCAGTCATGCCAGAGTTGGTCCCCATCTGTGCCCAGAGCATCTTGCCCACAGCAACAAAGTGTCCTACTACTGAGGAACAGCTGTGACCCTCTCTAGGGGGCATACTAAGGGTGTCTGTATTCCCAGCATGAGCAGCTTGCCGGGGTTCTCCTCTTGACTAGCTGAGTTCTCTCTGAAAAGTGTTCCCGCCATCTTCCATCCATCCCACCACGTGCAGATGGACTGAGCCCACAACGAACGTCCTGTTGCTCTGGGGGACCCCTCCCATCTCCTCTAAGGCTCCTTGTTTCTGAGTTGGATCTGAATCAGGTGGAAGGGTTGGAGGGGGCCACGATGTGGCACCACTGAGTCAAGGAGAGCTGGAAGCCCCTTCTGGAAGCTCCCCGTCCTGCACAAGCCTCATCCAGGAAGTTTTTCTTTTTAAAAAAAAATAATTTTATTGGGGGCTCGTAGTGTTTTATTCATAATCCATACATCCACCCATTGTGTCAAGCACATTTGTACATATGTTGCCATCATTGTTTCAAAACATTTTCTTTTTAATTGAGCTCTTGGTATCAGCTCCTCATTTTCCCCTCCTTCCCCCCTCCTTCTCTCACAAACCCTTGAAATATATGAATTTTTCCCCCCATGTCTTACACTGACCAGGGAGTCTCCCTCTACCCTCTTTTCTGTTGTCCACCCCCTGGGAGGGGGTTATATGTAGATCATTGTGATCGGTTTCCCCTTCCTCTCCCCACCTTCCCCTTACCCCCCTGGTATCGCTACTCTCATTATTGGCAGGAAGTTTTTCTATGGGACCAGGAGACCACATCTGGGTGGCCTCTCTGCCTCAACCTATCCCGGAAGGCCTGCGCCCTTCAGTATCTGGAAACCTTGGATCATTGATGGGCAGGGCCCAGGAGTCTCAAACAAGGTAGGGGTGAACTCAGAGGCAACACCAGCCTGCACAGGAGTCCCAGGGGTGTTCCTTCTCGGGTGCTCCCAGCTCAGCCAGGGCTCAGTGCCCACTCAGAGCAACCCGGTGCGGGTTTCTGAGATGGTAACGGTTCACAGGGGTAGGAAGCCCAGTCGTTTTCCCAAGGAGCTGCTGGTGGTTTTGAACTGCTGACTGTGGATGGCAGCCCAATGTGTAACCACGACACCCCCAGGCTCCTTGGCCAGGATAATGATGAAGGGGAATCTCCAGATGTTCCTTTAGAGGAATCCAGGGCCTTCCCTAGATGGCCCTCAGGCGCCCATCCCTGCCCCTGAGGTTGCAGGACTTGGCATGACTCCAGGTCTCTTTGGAGGGAGAAAGGGGCCTCCACTTGGTCCAGGTCCTTAGCGTCCACCCACCCCACCCCCACCCCCCGCCCGGGAGTAAAGCTTGGCTTGGCAAGAGCTTAGGCTCACCTCATAGATGCCAATGTTGGCGCTGTCAGCCGGCTGGCTGGAGACGCTGCGGATGTCTGACGCACTGCGGGCTGCAAGACTTGATCTACTCCCCTGGACTCCCTAGAAGGTATTGGTGTGTGTACGGGGTCAGAATTGAGCCCGGGGTCAGAGCCCGGAGGTTACATTGAATTCTAGAGCTTGACAAGAGAAAGAAGGAAGGAATAGCATCGAAGGAAGGTAATAATGACATGGCTCCCCAAGCGCACAGCACTTTACAGTTTATAGACCACGCTTACCTAGCTGCTCTGGTTGAGCTTCACAGCCCCCAAGAACACAGTCAGTATTGCGTTACCCATGCCATATGGATGAGGGCATGGGGCACCCACGTGAAGGCTGGGGTGAGGACAGTCCCAGGGAGAGGCCCAGCTAAGCAAGGCAAGGAGAGCTAGATCCCAGCTCTCTGCCCCTCCCACCTTTCGAGAGCTGCTTCTTTGTGGGTGGAGGAAGGTGATGTCATTCAAAGTCAAGATGATCTTGTTGGGGCCGGACACCATTTGGATGTGAAGTAGACGATGCCTGGTGGGGGAAGGAGGTCGTTTCAGAAAAGGGCAACCAAGGTCCGTGAAAGAAGCTAGCTAGGGAGAAAGGGGTGTCTCAGTGAGGGGCACTGGAGGATGGACATCCCTGGGGACTCTGACCTCCCTCCTGGAGCCCCCATCCTCCCTCCTGTACCCCCGAGGGCCCTGTTGCCTTTGCTGAACAGGTGGATTGCCAAGCTCACCCCGCACTCACCTCACCCCTACTCACCTCAGGTAATGGGCCAGGAAGGCCCCCATCAGCCCCAGCCCAATCACCACAAGGAAGCCGAGAAAGACCAGGCCAGGATCCACTCCTGGAGGGGTGGTAGGGGAGTGGGGCTCAGGACCCTGGCAAAGGGGATGCATCCTCTCTACAGAGGCATGGGATCCTGTCCAGCCCTGGAGGCTCCAGGGCAGAATCTAGGGGCAGGTCATGGATTCTTCGGTGGGGGGAGAGGCTGAGAATCCATGAAAGGAGAGCTTGGGGGACTCAGCCAAAGAGAGGTCCTGTGCAGGCCGGGGTCAGAGGAGGGCTGGTCTCGAAGAGGAGCTATAGGAGGGGCGTCCACTCTCTCCACTCTGTGGCCTGTCCGCGGTGGTATCCCAGTGAGGACAGGGGAGAATGGGGGAAGGGAGAGAGCACACCCTCACCTCCATTGCAGATGACACTGGGGTCGAACCAGCACCAGTGGTCAGACACAGGTCCCCGTCCCCCCTGCGGGAAGTGCACTGGGATCCCAGTGGAGTGGAAGGAGCCCCTGGCGGGGTCCAATGTAAATGTGGCAAAGAGTTGGTCCCCTGCCGCGTCCGTGTCCAGCAGTACAAATGGGGGCTCCTCAACTCCTCCCAGGAGCCCACAGAAGCCAGGGACCTGGGCATCCCGGGCATGGCGGGCCACAGCTGCTCCAGACACCCAGCTGCCACCTCCGGATGCCCGTGCTCCCACTACGCCTCGAGCCAATAAGGAGACTGCGTCGTAGATGGTGCCGAAGAGCGGGGACACCTGGGGAAGAAGCGTGGGGGCCTCTGGGTCCTGTGCCCATAACTCACAGGCAGATGTGAGCTCACCGGTCCTATTTCTCTGCTCACTGGGCCAAGTCCTCCAGGTAGGGACTGTTCCCATTTGCTAGTTAGCGGCTCCCCATCTCCATCCCTATTGGCTAACAACCCTGGTTTCGGGACCCTCAGACCGCATCTCACCCGTGGTTGACCAGTGGCTGACTCTCTGTATCTCCTACAGCGTCTCTTGTTCCTCCTTCTGGCTGCCCTGCGTGCATTCTCATCTCCTCCCCTCCCACTGGGGCCAACTCTGGAGGTAAGAGCTAGGCTGCCAACCCAAAGGCGGCCCATTTGAACCCACCAGCGTGCTTCATGGGAAAGCGACGTGGCAGTCTGCTTCCGTAGAGACCACCGCCTTGGAAAGCCTGGGGAGCAGCTCGGCTCTGCTCTGGGGTCACGATGAGTAGACCCGGTGGCAATGGGTCACCTATCGTTTGGGAATCCCTGGGCCGTGGACATGACGAACAGGTGTGGTTGCTCACCAAAAGGCTGGCAGCTTGAATTCACACCGAGGGGCCTCCAGAGAATGGTCTGGCGATCCGCAGCCGTTGATGGCACACACATGCTCACTATGAGTTCCATCCGCAGCTCCAGTCCACATCCACCCAGAAACCTTGCCCCCAGCCCCATACCCTGCCATGCTTTGATCGACTTCTTTCTTCTTTCTTTTTTTTAAATCCAGACGATCACCTGATACCATCAATCCAGCTTACTGCCATGGGCCAATCCCAGCACACCGCAATCACAGAAGGCAGAGTAGAGCCAATCCCAGCGCACCGCAATCATAGAGGGCAGAGTAGAGCCAATCCCGGGGCACCGCAATCACAGAGGGCAGAGTAGAGCCAATCCCGGGGCACCACAATCACAGAGGGCAGAGTAGAGCCAATCCCAGCACACCGCAATCACAGA